TCAATTGGTACTGTAGACATTTGGATTTTTCAGAGTACTGCGGAGGCCGACGGGCTTCTTGGGAATTCAAGTTAGGACCACGATTCGGAAGAGGATCATCAACCCGCTTCTCCAAATTCTTCGGAGGTAATTTTCGTTTAGGATTATGAATGCAATTTTAAATATTAGTATTATTTTTTTTTAGTGGAAATGACCTTTGGTTGATTTTAGTTTACTGAATTATTTCATAAATTAGTTGTTTTCATTAACAAATTGATCGGGGGCGGACCCTAAGCAATAGGCATTTTCAAGTGTTTCAGGGATTACTTTAGGCGTCTTCCCCATCTGTGGTATGTTAACACTTCATTGATGTTAAAAACTAATTCTATTGAGATTGGCTTTTAAGTTATGTTTCTTTTAATACTTTGCCAGTTAATTTCTCTTTTTTTACAAGCACAAATGGAAAATGGAAGCTTATTGAGTTCATTTTCGATGTAGCTCAATAGCTCATTTGACTCTGATAAAATTACTTCTCTAAAAATAGTGTTCACTTGGTAAACTCAGTGGGAATAGCTAAGTGTATCCGTAGTATAAGTAGCTACATTTTCTAGCACATAGTAAAGAATAGAGATGTAAAAAATGCTGATTTTAGTTGTGTAATATCAAGTTTTGACTCCCCAAATTTAGAGAGTCGAACTCACCCTCGAAAACCGAATGTTACGTCCTTGCCTGGTTGAGATGCTTACCTATTGTAAATCTTGCATACGGGAATAGGGAATTTTTTCATTAGTTTGAATTTTGGATTTAGAATTTCGAGATCTCCGAACTGAATGATATTTGTGAGCTGATTTACAACTCTCATCTAATTTTGTATTTACCAAAAATCTCTCCCCCCGTCTCGAGGAGGAGTTGGAAGAAATTGTTTATGGCAAGGATTAGTGAAATCTGATTTCCATGCATCTAGGTTGATGACTATAAATGCAAAGCTATTCAATATAAATTTTTAGTTTTATTTGTTTAAGTTATTGATATATTTGTTGTAGAGGAACCAGAAAATCCCTGAGAAAATAGATCCTATGGCTCTATTATGATGGAGAGACTAACCAGAAGTGAAGCAAGCAAATTGATCATGTTTTGCAGGTCAGTGCTTTTACTGTCTTCACTTCATGGTCAATGCAATTGAACAACATGCTAGCAATTTAAATTCGATGATTAATTGGTTTTTACTTCCTCCAGTTTTCCTAATGCAGAATACGATTTTTAGTCATCCATACTTGCCAGTAATTTCATCACATAAATACCAATTTTCAAATATGAATATACTTCTCTTTTCATTATCCTGAAACACTATGTATCTTTAACATGTACTACAACCAAAGAAATAGTAATTTATTCTCATAATTATATATTTTTTGATTATTTTCACAAAATCACTATCACTACTCCTAAAATTATAAATATTTTGATTATTTCGAAATATAACTTGAACAAATTGAGACATATCTGTAAGTCTAATTATCATACCTTCAATTTCTTCCTTTTGTGTAGATTTCTTTCTATTTTTGTGTTGTAGTGCTGGAACTAAAAGCAGTTGGTGATGGGTTAATGCTTGGGTTAATTTTTCCTGTGTTCGTTTTATAGATGATGGAACGGCTGCCGTTGATGATTGTATTTGACCTGTCAGGATGCAAGTGGCGATGGCTTAGGGTTTGACGAAACAAATGGTAGGTGGTACTTGGTAGCTTGGATTTCGGGATCATTCCATGGTCGCTG